TTGCTTATTTTCGGGTATTAAGTTAATTTGGGGGTTGCTTATTTTCGGGGATTGCTTATTTTCGGAGGAATACGGTAATAGTATTGCAGAAAAGATAAATTAGTTCAGAAAAATATATCATTTTTTGCTTAGTATTTCTCTTTATCACTATAGCTGAAAATATATAACATTAAATCTTAATAATAAGATAAGAAGCGGTCTGAATTAGGATCTGAAATAGAATTTCGGATAAAATCCTGATTACTGACACATTGCTAGGGCATATATCACAAACTATTTATAGTTAAAAATATCTTTGCGATGATGCTAATCATTAAATATATTCTATAAGACAATGTCAATTAAGCTTCGCAAAAAATGCATATATTCGTTAAATTTAACTTATAATAATAGTCTTATGATATATCCAAAAAGACAATTTTATTAATATTGCAAAGACCAAAGTATAAGAAGTTGACAATCCAATTCGGATTATACAATTCGGTTCTATTTGAAACTAGTTTTAGAAGTGATTTCCAGTATCACCATCATATGATCATAAAAATTGATTTTGAAAGTGAATCTTTTTTTGAAACATATTCCCAGATTATCTAAAACATTACCTGATGGGATTTTTTTTTTATTATTGAAAAAATCATCGTTCATAGATTGAGAAAGATCCTTGCCAATTACTGTATATTATTATTTATGATGCAAATCTTTTTTTTTTTTAAATCCCATACATAGATCCTCACTTACAAGGTATATTAACTATAAAGGTATATTTATTATTCAGAATTCCTGGAGAAACGACATTATTTGATAGACACATTGCAGTTGTCATAGTAATCACCAATTAGAATTTGTTTCTAGACTATTTAGCCATAATTCTCCACGTTTAAATAACGCCAATATTTGTATATTATCGAAGTGAAAGGAAAGAATCAACAATATTTTATATTTTCTCCCGAATCATTAGTTTCTACTGTAAGATTCATTTAACTATAAATGCATGTAGTCCGAATTCTTGGAAAGATTACGTTATCTCTGATGCGCATACTGCAGAATGACAGCTGTCATCGGAAGCATTAGCTCATGTGATATCATATTGATAAACTAAAAATAGTTATTTCCGCACTCTAAACCATTTAGTTTCAATTCTCCATGTATTTCTCCATGGTTATCAAACATACTACAGTATATTATTATATTTATTATAAATAAAAAGAAAATTTTAAAACATTGTTCCCAAATGTCTCAAATGTCTTCAAACGAATCATTAAATATTTTCACTTCTATAATTAACAATGATGGAATGTTTAGAACATACCATCAGAGAAATGTCATACGAAGAAGACAGAATCGACAACGTGGAAGACAACGAATATATCGAAATCATGTTCGATTTATTGCATCCCTCAATATTATTAATAACGAAGAAAACACGGTTGGTGAATTGAATAGAATCATAAACCTTCCTATACAAAATACAAATGACCTATTGATAAATGAATTTTTCAACGGGTCTTCGTTTTCTTAAAAAGAAAAAAAAATTCTTTGAAAAAAAATATATATATTAATAATTGTACGTTAAAGTTAATATAATTTAATTGAGTTTCTATACCAATTTGGTAATTGTGGGGTGGTCTCTAATTTTAATTAATATTTAAAAACTATTTCTTAATATCGTTCCTATTTAAGTCCTTGGTTCGTTCCTATTCAATAGGATTATTTGTTTTCGAAATAATCTGTTCCGTTAATATTTAGATAATTATTTAATATGACAATCAAAAATTTTGTTTCTTATTGCACATTGTAGTTATTTTTTAGAAATAAACCAAGGTGGACACGAAATAAAGTTTTTAAGCGCCATTTTTAAGCGTTCTTTAATGAAATTTTTGATTGCAGATCTACAAATTTCTGTTGGGTTATATTAAAATGCAACAAATCATTAATTGTTTAATGGCATTATTCAGGAAGTATTTCAAATTTCTTTTACTTTGTTAAATACAAGCTTTATAACCTTTATTAGAAACAAATAATAACGGGAACGTTGGAGCGTCAAACTAGGTGATCAACTATACTTAAAAAAAATATATCTCAAAAATAAACAAATATAATACAATACTTATACGTGTGAGGAACAGACACCACATGTCATGGTTTCAGCTCTAACCGAAAGTGTCCTAAGCTTACGGACAATAAAGACCTTTAAAACTTCGCTTCGTTATTATAGTAATGTCACCTCTAAATAAATTCTTTTAAGACCAGGATTATTTTGGATGATTTTTTTTTCAGGCAGTTAGCATTCTACGGTAAGCAAAAAATTTTTTTTACTTTGGTGCCGTAAGTCTTAACTCGACAATAAAATTGTAACACTTAAAAAATTTTCAACTCTAAAAAAAAATAAAACTTTAAAAAAATAAACCGGTAACTTTGTTCTTTGAGATAAGCTCTATTAAATTACCGGTCAGATTTTTGAAAAAGATCTACATAAAAAGTGATAAGCATTTGAAATCGGATAATTTTTATATGATCGGCCCAAATTTGAAACAAAATCATATCACGTGAATGTAATTTTATTGGTTAAAATTTTCGATAATTCGAACTGACATTAGCATTAATATAATGCCGGCCCAAATTATTGCAACTAATTATGCTCAAATATGATTCGATTCTAGTTTTAGCTTTTAAATTAAACCTTTTCAATTTCAATTTTATTTTAAAAATTGATCATGCCATGTAAAACAAAAAGACAACAGCAAGTAAGTGAGTTATCTAGAAAAAAAAGGCTGGTTTCACATCTCAAAAATCAGATATCACTATTATAGAAGAGGAGATTGAGCAAAAAAAAGCTGTTGAAGAAGTTGGGATAAAAAGGCCACAAGTAAAATTAGAGCTGTGTATACCGGAGATTCAAGAACATTACAATAGAGACAAAAAAAGAAGACAATAGAGTTAGAAGAGCATACAAAAGGAATAAAAATAATCAATACTTATTTTTAACTAATCTTTGAAAATGAGTAAAACACTATTATTATCACAATCTATTACACTAAATTCACCTCCATTAATACCTGTTGATACTACAATGAACCTACATGTATGTTTAAAAGAGATCAATCAATTATGTTTAGTAGAAAAATTCACAAAAGAAAATTGTGATATATTTACATATGATTATATCTGCCTTTTAAGTGTATGCAGATTCATATAACAATTATTAGATGGAAAAGGCAAAATGGTTGCTAGCACTCAGGTTGCTCAATCTATGTGAAATAAAGGAGACTACATGGCTCAATGTATTAGAAAATGAGAAGATCATTTTATACAAACCAGTGAACTTCCTATCCATTCCCAAGGAAAGCATATGAAAATAAAAGGCTTGCTAGATGATGAGGATTTTAGTGAAGATTGTAAAGTATAATTGTGACATTAGATAGAAATACGCTTTTCTTATAATCTAAAAATGTATATTGAAGAAGAGTTATTTTCAAAATCAATAGAAAATATCAAAAAGGATACCATTTCTGAGAAGGCATGTTAAAATTATATGTATTGTTAATGTTACTCTTTCCGTTGAATAAGTTAACTATGATTTGAAGTCAGGGAGGCAATAGCTATAACTTAAATCCAATCAACGAGATTCAGCGTTATATCTTGCAATTTACGAAAAATAAAAGTTTAAATCCAAATTTTTACTTTATTTAAACC